CCCCCTTCAAGTCCATGCGCTCCCCGCTGTGCAGGGGACAGAGGAGGGGGAAGCGATGGGGCTGGTGCTGGCCCCTGGGGAGGCAAGGCTGCATGTGCTAGATGAGCCCTCTGCCCTGGGCTCTGGGTACCAGACTTCCCATCAGGCCTTGTTAGCCCAGTTTGCTCAGAGGACCTGTGCAACAAGCCCTCTCTGCAAGAGCAGGAGGAAAGCAGTTTTCAGCAGGTCATATCTTCCTCTGCCCCTGCTCCCTGCCCCAGCAAGGCCTGAGCAGTGAGTTTCAGAAGGCATCTTTCCTCTCTTGCCCTCTGTACGAAACCTCCCGCACCTAAAAGCCAAACAATGAGCAAAACTATTTGGAAACTGGCTTTCGCAGGCTCTAGGCTATGATTAGTTATCCAGATTCAAAATCACTGAAGCAAACCCCCTCTGAAAGGCAATGTACCTGTGGGAGATGGGGAAAAGACAGAGTTGCAGCAGCTGCTGCACTGGGCAGGTTTCATGGTGTGCTTGGCACATGGCTCAGCACAGTGGCTGTTTGCCAGCACTAACAGCTTGCTGCTTGCAGGGGAGCACCTCTGAGACTGGGGGGGCAAAAGGTTCATTTTTGCTGTCTGAGCCTTTCCTTCCTGCTTCCCATGAAAATACAAATGTCCAAAGGTAAAGCAGCAAAAGTTCAGTTTTAGGTGAGCCGTGGGAGGGCAGACTGGACTGCAGCTGCAGCTGGACTATCCCTGCCTTGCCCCAGTCTGCCCACAGCGGTGGCCAAGGGGCCACTCCTGACCCAGAGAGCTGCTCCTCACCCAGAGCAAATTCCTGCTCTGCCAGCCCACACCATTGCACACGAGGGATCGATAATTGCTGTATTTTTCTCCTGCTTTCTCCTCTGCAGCAATATTTTGGAACTGGAAATATGAAGGGACTAGTTATTGGAGATAAAGGTCCTAAATTTTTGTTTATAAACTGAGCACACTGAAATAAGGGAGCACTGATCTTCCAAAGTGCTGAGCCTTGGTTTATGAGCAGGCCTTGGACTCCCTCTTCTGGCGTACGGACCAGGTGCCGCTGAGGCAGGAAGCTGTGGGACCATTATGGTCTCCTGCAGAGATGCTGGCTGCTCAGAGGGGTTGCCAGCCAGGCCTGCCACAACCCGCACAGCCCCACTGCCACCTCTGAGCTCGCCCTGGCCGCCCTCACCTGCCATGCGAGGCCCATGGTTCAGGGGGGCTCCTCTTGTCTTGGCTAGAGAAACTGCTTGCCCTTTTTTTGACAGGAGCCTCCTGCCCCTGCTGGGTAGTGCAGACCTTGAGGGGATCCTGCAGCAGAGAGATGGGGAAATGTCCCAATGGCATTTGCTTGTGAGCTGGGTTTGCATGCTTGAGGGTCTCTGAAAGCTTTGGATCACAGCTCAATTCAGTTGTCTGCACCCCTAGCACTGGCTGAGCTGCCCCAGGGCGTCTGCGACACCCCTGGGTGCTGGTGAATATAACACAGGACCCAGACCCCTGGGTGCTGGTGAATATAACACAGGACTCAGCGACTGGGAGTTGGTGGCCTGGGGCACCTTAGGGGTTTCCTATGGGGCACTCGACAGCTGTGTGTGAACCACTTAATCCAGCCCTCAGCCGTGCTCTTCTTTGTTACGGTTTCTGGACACACTACCCTGTACTCCTTATTTAAGTGGTCCCCCGCGATCCAGGTGCCAGGGGGTCCTAAATGGTCATCCTCCTGTTCCCCCTTCCCCTCCCCCCATCCATCAGCCACTGACCACCCTGTGCTGAAGCACCACCACAAGTGGTGCTTCTAGTGCTTTCTAGTGCTTTCTCGTTTGCAGAAAGGGAAAGGAAATGGTAGTTTCTAGTAGTACTTAATGGCCTTACAATATGATTGTTTCCTCTGATTTGGTCCAGTATGTGGATACCCATGAGCACCTCCTACTAACACTTTTTCTTGCTCCCCAGTCACCCTTGTGTTAGCCTGGAAGAAAATTTCTCAGATATTAGCCTATGATGCATAGGCTATGATGCATATTGTAGTTGCTCGAGTTGACTAAAAGTTTTTCTTGGGGTACAAATCTTTGCCTATTTTTTCCTCTTCCTTTGGAACTGCCAGATGCAAATTTCAGTGCTTGGCTTCATTTTTACATATGACCTAGGCAAGTGCCCTTAACCCTGCTTTGCGTTTGCTGTTACAGATCAAAAAGGCTTGTGCCGATAGCATTGCAGGGCTAGCAACAAGAGCAGCACTGCATGGGGACCGAGCTGGGTCAGGCTCTCCCTGGGATGCAGGGAAAAACAAAATTAGTCCCTGCCGAGATGGAGGGACTGATGTAAAATTGGGATGTAGCTCGAGCAAGAGAGAAAGATGGTCCTGATGTTGCTGAGGGAGGTGTAAGCTTGGGGCACTGGCGGCTACTGCTCTTTCCTGGATACAGAAGCATCTGCTGCGCGTGCCCTGAGCTTGCTTGGATCCCAGTGCTTTACACTGGCAGAGGATGTGGTGGGATTACGCTTAGTTCACTTTCTGTCTCAAGGACTGTATCCAACCCTGCAATGCAGTCTGCTTGCTGCTTCGTGACCCCCACCCTCACCCCTCAGCCTGACACAGCGGAGCTGCCTAGCCAACCACGCAGATCATCATGCACGGGGAAAATGAAGTGCTGTGGCAGCAGCTAGCAAAACCTGCTCTTGCTGGAGTGCCGCTGCGTGGCATGGTGCAGCCCATCCTCCATACGACTTCTCCTCTCTTGTATGACCTGACACTTCAGACATTTTCTCATGGTGCTTCCTCATATGCTGAAGCTAGTGACATGGCATGATATAAGTAAGTGCTCAGCATTGATTTTAGTAGCAGATTGATTTGTAGGCATTTCTGGGATACCTAGAAGCTTAGAAGTTGGACACTAGTATGCAGCTGCTGAAATTCTGCTAAGTGTATTTGTTTCTAAAGCTACATCTGAGAATTATTAGTCTTCCTAGCTACTCCCTTTTTCTTCTCTTCTTGCTAGAGGACAGAGTAAAAGCTTCTCTGCAAGAAGCCCAGAAGACTATCCTAGGCATAGTTCATGTCAAAGCACAGAAAACCTGTGCTGAAACCTCAGCTGAGAAGGGAACCCCATGTTCCAGGTTTGCACTAACAAGTGGCCTTTGCCATCTCCCAGTAAAGCCAATGAAAAGTTGTGATGGGAACTGGATTAAGCCCAAGATAGCTTTCTATTGAGAGCTTCCATGACAGGTAGCTCTTGTGTTTTCACCTCAAAGCTGCAGAGCTCACCTGCTCTCTTCATTTACATACAGTTTCATCTATTCGGTATGTAAATGTTTCTAATACCGGTGGAAAGATGTGTCCTAAAACCTGAAGAGACATAATTCTGTTAAGGTTAGTGCAGGCAGAGGTATTTCCTGCTTCTCTCCCTTGCACTGTGTTGCACAAACTATGATGGAGCGAGAAGTGGAATAAGGAGATAATTAACTGATCCTTTATGCCCTGAGGGCCCAGTAAGACAGCTAAGAAGACTAACTTTTGATGCCCTGTGTCAGTTTCTCAAACTTTTTCTTAATGTGCTCCCTGCAGGATCTATTTCCTTCCTTCTCCACCCATCTCCTCCCCAAGCTGAAAGCCGTGTCTGCTGCTTTACGCTTTGTCTGTGCACTCCTTGCTCATTCCCAAATGCACTATCCCACGTAGAGCAAAGAGTGGCCTTTGCTTCATCACAGTTCCTATTGATTAAATGACAATGTAGGATATTCTTGCCCTTTCGCTTACTTTTTGTTCACAGTCTTGCTTTCTGTTTTATTAACAAAATGCTGCTGAATGTGTTTAACACAGGAAAGTTGCTAACTGATTTCTCTGCTAATTGGTTTTCCTCTGTCTTCCAGGGGAATGAAAGAAGGAGGAGAGGTCTCACATGGTTCATCTTTCTTCTTTTAATCTTTCAGGCAGGGAAAGAGACAGAGGAAAGAAGGTGAGTGGTAAACTAAATCATCAAGAAGAAAAGAGATGCTCAGAAATGGCCTGGCCAGGCGTCAGTGAGATGCTGGAGTAGAGCTACCACTAGCACCGCTTTCTGTCACTGCTGTTAGTTGAGGACTCCAGGGTAGAGACAAGCTTCCGGTAGAAACCCGTTTTAAGGAGGGTAGTCTGAATGGAGACAGAAGGAAAAAGAGATGGTGCAAATTAACATTGCAAAGTGCTTCATAGAGCTCAGCCTGTCCTATGAAATCTTGCATTGACACTGAGAAATGCAACTCAAAGTTATGGTGCTGTTTATTTTCCCGCTGTTATTACTTATGAAATGAACCACTGACTTGAGCTCTGAATATGCTCACGTGAGAGGATGGGGAAAAGATGGTGCTGAATGGGGGCAGAGAGACAAAAAAAGGGAAGATTGGAACTGGTAGAACAGCATTTCTTAAGGCATCTTTCACAACCTCCCACTTTCTGTGCCCCTTTCCACTGTTTCTTTATCTTCTTTCACTGACTATTAACTGCAAACAGCTAATTTTGCAAGTGCCTGCCTTGAAGGGTTATCCTCCCTTAATTCCTGACTGTTGGCTACACAGCGCAGTGTTACCACGAGTGGAGCTAAGAGGGTTCCCCCGGCCTAGTATTTCCCAGCACCTCTTCCCGTGCCGCAGCCCCAGCAAATCACATGCACAGATTGCACCATGCTGCAGCCTTGCCTCCTTGGCATGACCTGAAGGTGGTATGTCCCAGGGCCCTGGTGTCATCAGGGCAGAGGCGAAGCAGCCTTTCCCTTAGCCCCCCAGTCACCTCAGGGCCATGCCTGCCCCTGCTGTCGTGCCATTAGCAGGTAACCAGGCATGTAACTATATACTGCTTTCCTTCACCTTGTGGCATTGAGCTATTAGCAAGGGAGCAACAGCTGCTGCAGGTGGTGTGATATTTAGTTGACCCTGGCATCTGTTCTGCAAGTTCTGGCACTGATCTTAAAGCAAAGATGCTCAGCACCTATACTGAGCCCTCAGTGTGGCACAGAGCTAGGAGCAGCCTACAGGCAGAAAGGTATATGTTAATTACTGAGGAGAACTGGCAGTGCTTCTCATGGACACTCACAATCTGGAGACAGAGGTCCGAAGCACCAGGGCACGTCTGGGATGACTGAGTCAAAACAGCACTTTTGTTCTAAGCATTCTGTCTCCGTGATGCCTGGAAACCCACAGTTTTCCCTTGCTTTGGGGTGCACATTGCATTCACTAGAGTCTATTCAAAGCAAAGGATAAGGTAAAGAAGGTGCATATCCGTATATGTCATGCAAACACATGTGTGCATATGCACATGTACACATGCATGCACACACACACACACACACACGCATACAAACACACGCACGTACTTAAGCATAGAGATAAATATATATTTTTCCTTACTAATCAGTGCTGCCACTGCAGGGTTATAAGCCTGTGTGTTCACATATCAGATGTATCTGTCTGATGAATTCAAGGATGTGTTGCCTTCCACTATAAATAGGTCCAGCGCAGGTCAGTCCTTTAAGCAAAGGGCTACGTGGTGAAGTGGGTTATGGTCTTGGCCTGATATGAGAGGTGGAATATGTTAATTTTCATGGTTAAATAGTTTATCTCTCCTCACAGTAGCCCTAATACATATCTGTGCTGATGGCCATAACATTGCTGCACAGATTGGTATGCCTGGCAAGGTCACCCTGAGGAACCTCTGAGGCTGTGATGCTGTGCACTGCGCTGCTTCACTGCAGAAACATGCAGCTGATAGTGGTGGCAAGTTGTCAGTGTGAGATACAGAACTCCGTTAGGCATAAACATGAAGCCGGGAATGACTTTGCAGCAGTAATGTGAGAGTGACACCACCGAAACTGGGGTGTTGTGTTAGGGAAGGGCCATGTGAAAAGTAAGTGGGGCTCACTCAAAAAGTTTCAGCTCCAATACACCAGTGGAGATGGACTTACCTAGTGAGGTGCCTTACTTACTTTGCACATCCTGTGCAAAACCATGCTTTTTTTTACCTTCATATGTTGGAAAAGCTGTTTCAGGCTTCTTCACAGAGGATGCCCTTGGGACAAGACATCAAGCTGGAGCTACTTGCACTGTCCAGAGGTCTGAATCCCCACAGCTTGTCTCCC